CTGGTTGTTTCCGCTCCTGGCTGTGTTGCCCGAGCCTTGTTGCTTCTTCGTTCTTCCCTTATTGCTGTCAGGTTGGGTGACGTGGTGTCTTACTCCCGTTGTAGCGTGTGTGTTTGTATCCCCCCTTGGGTGCCTGCTGGTGTCCATGGCTAGTCGCGTTCAATGCATGTCTTTCTTTTTCTGGAATGTTCAGGGCCTTGGGGACCCTGATAAGTGTGATCTCGTTCGTAACTCTATCTCGTCCGTGTCCCCCACTGTGGTGTGTCTCCAAGAATCCAAGCTCGCGGCTCTTGATGTGTTCAAAGCTTGGTCCTTCCTCCCCCTATCTCTCTGAGTTTGTCACTAAGGACGCCGATGGGTCTCGAGGGGGGGGGGGGTGATCACGGCTTGGGATCCCCGTAAGCTGTCCCTTGTCAGTTGCGCTCGGTCGTGTTTTTCTCTTACCACTAAGCTTGCCTCCACGGTCTCCGACCTCTCCTTCTCCCTAACTAACGTCTATGCCCCGGCTGACCACTCTCTTACTGCGACCTTTGTCGATGATATGCTCTCCTTGTCGCCAGCCATTGATGGGGCAAGGCTGATCGTGGGGGACTTCAATCTCATCCGCCTGCCTAGGGAGAAGAACGACGATCGTTTTGACGCCAGCCGCGCGTCCGCTTTCAACGCCATGATCAACGCCTTGGCATGGCTGGAACTCCCTCTCACTGATCGCTTGTACACTTGGTCTAATAAACGTGATCCTCCCACTCTCGCCCGGCTCGACCGGGCTTTTTTCGACGCAGCCTGGGACTCCCTCTTCCCGGACTCCACGCTTGCTTCTCGCACCAGAATCACTTCCGACCACGTCCGCCTGGTTGTCTCCGTCTCTACCCGCATCCCGTCGGCGGGGCGTTTCTTTTTCGAAACCTCCTGGCTGCTGGACCCTCTGTTCCTCCCTGCGGTTTTGCCGTCCTGGTCGCGCGCCCCTAGCTCTCCCTGTGCTGCGACTCGCCTTGCCCGCCAGAAGAAATGTCTCAGGTCTGCGGCCAAGGTTTGGAAACGACAACACAAGTTCATTCCTGTTTTTGATAACAACTGCCAGTTCTTGATTGACTTGTTAGATTACCTGGAGGAGCACCGGCGGCTTTCCCTGGCCGAATCCGAGCTGCGGAGTGATGCCCGCCTTACGTTGGCTGGCTCTGTGGCGCGGCAAGCCGCCTACTGGCGACAGCGGGGGAAGTGCCGGGCCGTTGCGGAAGGTGACGAGAACACCGGATACTTCCATGCCCGGGCGTCTCAGCGGCATCGGGGGAACGCCATCCGGGTGCTTGCGGTCGACGGTGTTGAGCTGGTTGATCACAGCGCCAAGGAGGCGGCGCTGCGGCGGTTCTACTGCAACCTGCTGGGCCGGGCCCCCCGCACCTCCTAGGGGTTCGACCTGGTGTCCCTGTACGCTGGCGCGCCTACGGTCGACGGTGCGCCGCTGGTGGCGCCCTTCTCCAGGGCGGAGATCCGCGCCGCGGTCTTTGTGCTTGACCGGACTAGCGCCCCTGGCCCGGACGGGCTTGGCCCCGCCTTCTACCAGGCCGCCTGGTCGGCGGTTTCTGGAGACCTTCAGTGCTTCTTTGACGAGGTGCATGGCGGCATCGCGTGCCTCGACGGGATAAACAGGGCCCTCATCGCTCTGCTCCCCAAGAAGGAGGGCGTGCCTTCACCTGGCGATTTTCGCCCCGTCTTTCTTCAGAACGGGGACGTTAAAATCCTCTATCCAGGGCTGACTTCGCGCCTCCAGCGTCAGATCGGCGACCTCATCGACGTGGACCAGTCCGGCTTCCTGACCGGGCGCAGCATCTCGGAGAACTTCGTTTATGCGGCGGAGCTCGTGCAGTGCTGCTGCAAGCGGGGGGCCCCGACGCTGGTGTTCAAGCTCGACTTCGCCAAAGCCTTCGACTCCATTGCCTGGCCCAGCCTTCGACGGATCATGGAGGTTCGGGGGTTCCCGGCAGCTTGGTGTGATTGGATGGATCTCATTCTCAAGTCCTCGAAGGCTGTCGTCCTCCTGAATGGGGTGCCTGGGAGGTGGTTCGCGGTCCGCAAGGGGCTGCGGCAGGGGGACCCTGTCTCACCATACCTGTTCCTCCTGGTCGCCGACGTGCTCCAGCGCATGATCCGGGCGGACGGGGTTCTGCGTCATCTGCTATGTGAGGGGGCGCCGCCTGTGGTGCTCCAGTACGTCGACGACACTCTGATCATAATGCGCGCCTGCCCAGAGGGGGCGACTCGGCTGCGTGGCATCCTTGACCTCTTCGCCTCCGCGACGGGCCTCGTCATCAACTTCACCAAGAGCACTCTCGTCCCCATGCATGTTGCCCCGGAGGTGCTCGAGGCCGTAGTGGCTGCATTCGAGTGCACGGTGGGCTCCTTCCCACAAACTTATCTGGGGTTGCCGCTCTCCTGCGACAAGCTCAAGCTCGAAGATTTTGCTCCCATGCTCGCCAAGGTTGATCGATACTTGGCGGGGTGGCGGGCGAGGCTGCTATCCCCGGCAGGACGCTTGGTGCTCATCAACGCGGTCCTGGACTCCATCCCCACTTATGCCATGGCTGCCATGCGCCTTCCGCCGGCCATTATCTCTAGGCTGGACGGGCTACGCCGGGCGTTCCTGGAATGTTGCAGACCGGGCTTCTGGTGCTCAATGCCTCGTCGCCTGGGACCGCGTCTGCCGGGCCAAGGCAGAGGGAGGGCTCGGAGTCCGGGCGCTTGGAGTCCAGAACGATTGCCTCCTCCTCAAGCTGCTCCATCGCCTTCACTCCGGTGTGCCGTCCCGATGGGCCGCCTGGGTTTGGGGCCAGCTGGATGGTGTTGGGTTTCGTAGTAATTTCAAAAATTTTCCTACGCACACGCAAGATCATGTGATGCATAGCAACGAGAGGGGAGAGTGTTGTCTACATACCCTTGTAGACCGTAAGCGGAAGCGTTAGCACAACGCGGTTGATGTAGTCGTACGTCTTCACGGCCCGACCGATCAAGCACCGAAACTACGGCACCTCCGAGTTCTAGCACACGTTCAGCTCGATGACGTCCCTCGAACTCCGGTCCAGCCGAGTGTCGAGGGAGAGTTCCGTCAGCACGACGGCGTGGTAACGATCTTGATGAACTACAGCAGCAGGGCTTCGCCTAAACTCCGCTACAGTATTATCAAGGAATATGGTGGCTGGGGGCGCCGCACACGGCTAAGGAATAGATCACGTGGATCAACTTGTTGTACCTTTGGTGCTAGCCCTGCCCCTCTATTTATATGTTGAGCCCCGGGGTCGAAACTTGGAGCAAAAGCCTCCTCAAAGTCGGTTTTGCCCGAAAGGCAAGAGTCCCACTCGGACTCCAGGACCAAACGCCACAATCCTTGGCGTCTGGCCCAGACGCCATGGGCCTCGGCGTCTGGCCCAGGGCCAGACGCCAGGGTCTCCGGCGTTTGGCCCCCTGAACTCCGCAAAACTCCTTTTGCACCGATCTAAAGCCTCATAGGCTTGACCCCTTGGCCTAACCATATCATCCAATATATGAATCTTTACGTCTCGACCATTTCGAGACTCCTCGTCATGTCCCCAATCTCATCCGGGACTCCGAACTCCTTCGGTACATCAAAACATGTAAACTCATAATATAACTGTCATCGTAACCTTAAGCGTGCGGACCCTACGGGTTCGAGAACAATGTAGACATGACCGAGACACGTCTCCGGTCAATAACCAATAGCGGGACCTGGATGCCCATATTGGCTCCTACATATTCTACGAAGATCTTTATCGGTCAGACCGCATAACAACATACGTTGTTCCCTTTGTCATCGGTATGTTACTTGCCCGAGATTCGATCGTCGGTATCCAATACCTAGTTCAATCTCGTTACCGGCAAGTCTCTTTACTCGTTCCGTAATACATCATCTCACAACTAACATATTAGTTGTAATGCTTGCAAGGCTTATGTAATGTGTATTACCGAGAGGGCCCAGAGATACCTCTCCGACAATCGGAGTGACAAATCCTAATCTCGAAATACGCCAACCCAACATCGACCATTGGAGACACTTGTAGTACTCCTTTATAATCACCCAGTTACGTTGTGACGTTTGGTAGTACCCAAAGTGTTCCTCCGGTAAACGGGAGTTGCATAATCTCATAGTCATAGGAACATGTATAAGTCATGAAGAAAGCAATAGCAACATACTAAACGATCGGGTGCTAAGCTAATGGAATGGGTCATGTCAATCAGATCATTCTACTAATGATGTGACCTCGTTAATCAAATAACAACTCATTGTTCATGGTTAGGAAACATAACCATCTTTGATTAACGAGCTAGTCAAGTAGAGGCATACTAGTGACACTTTGTTTGTCTATGTATTCACACATGTATTATGTTTCCGGTAAATACAATTCTAGCATGAATAATAAACATTTATCATGATTATAAGGAAATAAATAATAACTTTATTATTACCTCTAGGGCATATTTCCTTCAGATGGACGGGCCCTCCTTGGGCGCGGCCGCTCCCCCCTCCAAGGCGAGCATTGGGGTGCCCTCCTAGGTCTGCTGCCCGTCTACCGATCCCTCACCAGGGGCGCTGTTGGGGACGGGAGAGCGACCTCGTTCTGGCACGATGACTGGCTCGCCTGTGGGGTGATCCGGGTTGCCTTCCCTGCCCTCTACACCCACGCGGCCTGCTCGGAGACCTCGGTGTGGGCGGCGCGTAGGCAAGGGGTGCGTGCCTTGCTGGTGCCCCGGCTCACCCCTAGGGCCGTGGAGGAGTGCGCTGTTGTCCAACTACTGATGGATGATTCCCCCCAGCAAGTGGACCGGACTCCCGAGTCGCCGCTCTGTGCGCTGCCCCCGGTGGAGGTCTCTCGTCCCGTGGTGTTTACGCCCTCTCACGCTTCGGTGGGGTGGAGTCTCCGTCGGCATCCTTCCTTTGGTCGTCCCGGGCGCCATCGCGAGTCAAATTCTTCGGGTGGCTGCTTTCCATGTCTCGCATCCACACACGGGATGTGCTTTGCCGTAAGACCATCCTCACGGCGGCGGAGGCAGGGTGCCCCTGCTGTGATGCTGTTCTGGAGACCGCCAACCATCTTTTTTTTGGCTGCCCGTTCGCGGTGCAGTTTTGGCGTAGCATCGGCGTGTCGCCAAATGAGGCTGTGGTTGGGTCTCTTCATCGCCTGGATGTCTCTCCGGCGGTTGGTGATGCCTCGCCGGCATCCTTCGTCCTACTCTGCTGCTGGAGGCTCTGGAAGCGACGGAACGCTGTCGTCTTCAGAGAGGATCCGCAGTCCCTTGTTGCTACGTTGAAGGCCTGCAGAGATGAGGCGGTGCTCTGGCGTGCTCGGCTGAAAGTTGCCGATCGCTCCCACATAGATGTTTGGTTGTCGGTGCTTCGAAACAGGGGTGAGATAGTCTGATGTAGTCTGATGTAGTTCTCCTCTTCTCCCCTGTATATCTCTCCG